ATTTTTTTTTTGTTTTTTTTTTAATTTAAAAATTTTGTTTTTTTTAAAATTTCCACGTACTTGGGGAGTTTTTTTTTTTTTTTTTTTTTTTTTTTTTTTACCAAATACTGTTTTACTCTTGAGTAATTTCTTGGATGGCTGCTTTTTACTTTTACTTCAGTAAAAGCATGTTGTCGTTCTGCTACTGCCTCTGATCGTCTTCACCTTAATTGGAACGTCCACTCTTGAAATTAAATTATTTTTTAATTTACTCCCGGTGTATTTGATCAAAGATTATTCTGTTTGACATTCAGGCTCCAGAGGAGTTTTCTGCGAGCTGAGGCAGAGCGACCGGAGGATGCTCGACTTTTACTCTAAACTCGGCTCCTTCGAACACGTTCCCGTGGACGGGAGTCTGGCTCAGGATGCCGTCGTCATGGCAACAAAGTTCCAGTAACGCCAAAGCATTTAGGATGTCGGTAAACGACGCTCGTCGGTTTGAATCAAGTCTTTGGCCTTGTCTTTTAACATTTTGTCAATGTTATCTCTGTGAGGATATTTTTTCAATAAATTGGAAACATCCACAGTGAATCGTTAGCGTTTCTAAGTTTAGAGGGAAATTCATCAAGGCGACACATTGAGACACACACACACCAAGACAATTAAACAAAGAATGCATTTTATTTGTCATTTAGACAATACAATCACTCTTAATGTATTAAGAATTAATCTTTGATTAAATAGCTTTTTTATTATTTGTTCTCTCGCTTTAGAAGCATAAAAAAAAAAGTTTAACTTTGGACAAGAAAATAAAGATGAACAAAGATCAGCAGCGACAAACGTCCTGCCTCAAAGTAACCGTGCTTCATGGAGCCAAAAACGTCTGCTCTACACATGACAACATGACGAAGCTCAGCGTTTCTCAGCAGTAAAACACAAACGGGACTGGATTTAAGGTTAAGGACACTTTTCTTCTTTTGTTGAACCCTGAGTGACCAGCTGAGAGACGCCGCACAGAGACGTGCGTCTACTGCGTCTGAACATGAAAACCCTGTTTAAAAAAAAAAAAAGCTACACTGCTGTAGGATATTTTGAGTGAAACAAGTGTAATATGCTCATAATGTGTGATTTAAAGGCAAATTTATACATATCAAACACTGAAAATGGAATGTAAAAAATAAAATTCCTGTCAAAAGCTTGTATAGTCGTTCTAAGTAGGAATGCCGCACCAACAAATTATTCAGTTGAGCTGTTTGTTCAGTGTGGAGCGATTATACAAACATATTTGATTTTTTATTTTTTTTTAATGGGTGTGAACGTCTAAAATTACACTGGATTACCTTTAATCCACACAGGATGGTCATACAGGCTCAAACAGGTTCTGGACGAGGCTTTGTGCAAACCAAAGAACACCATAGCAACAGTCAAGCATGGTGGTGGCAGCAGTGTGCTGTGTGGCCATTCTGTTGCACTGCACACAATAACAGAAGACTGCCACCTAATTCTTTATCTTGACCTCAAATCTACAACGGTTGAAACTTGGACACATTTGGGTTCGAACAGGAGACGAATCCACGCACACATCAGAACAGGATTTAGAGCGAAAGGAGACGAACTTCTGGATTGGTTCTGACCTCGACCCAATCAAGTCTATAATCAGTGCAAATAAATCAAACAATTTGAATGAACTAAAGTTCACATCCAGTATAAAATGCCCCTATTTTATGACATTTCTGCTCAAGATAAGTGTATGTAAACTTCTGATAAGAACTACATGTGGCCATAAAAAGTAATGAAAAGACACATTTGTGAAATGACTGACAGTGGAATGATACGACTAAGCCTTACTTTGTGTGGGGAGTGTCACAACTCTGGTGAAAATCAAACCTTTCGAAAGAACAAATCTCCGCTCATGGGGTTAAATTTTTTTTATCTAGTGTATTTAAGTTAAATATTTAAACTTGAAAACCCTACATGAGACCAAAAACATTTCCTGAAACCTTCTCGGTATAAGTCCAGTTCGATGATGAAAGCCAAAGATATTATAAAACAAGCAAAAATAAAGAAACGCCGACAGCCGTCTCTTTAAATGTGCACTGATATGAAGCAGAAACGCCTGTTAGAGATTTATGTAGGTTCAGAAAAATACCTATCACCTGTGGTAATAAGTTAGATTTTCTTTTTTAAAACATTAAATCGTCCACGGTGAAGAGGACTGTTGTGCTTGTCATGATCAGTAATGAAGAATGCCACCATCAGAAAATATTTAGCACCTGATAAAAAGGGAAAAACACATTTTGCCTTACAGGCCGACCATTTCCCGTGGTTTAAATAATACTAGAAAATTGCCCATGTCACCAACAGTAACCTGTTTATATATAAATATATATACACATCTCTAAAAACCAATTTAATATTTTTGCTTTAATGTTTGGTCTAAGTCCTAATTACTGCTTTAAAAGCATTTTACTTTCTTCCTTTTTATTATAGATTCAACTCCAATCGGGTCTCTTCTCAAAATTAAATAAAGAAAAAACAAAGACAAAACGTCTAGCAGCACTGATGTGATGTAGGTTTGACTCTAGTGTTTGCTGACGGGAGACAGCAGCAGATGTACGTTTTTCACAGTTGTCCTGTTGACCTTTCACCTGTGCTTTCAGAAAAAAAAGTTTTACCCTTGTTATCCCGATGCTCTCTAGCATAATGCGATATGAAACTTTCACCCCGCCACGTTTCAAATGAACTCCAGCCCTTCGTACTTCACATCTCCCATCTTGGTCTCGGGCATCAGCAGCCGCCCGTCCAGTGTGAAAGCAATGATGTATGTGGCGATCCTGCCTGCGTCCTCCTCCGACTTCAGAGCCAGGACGACCTGGTCGTCGGTGTCGGGAACGAATTTGAACGAGGAGAAGCCGTGGGTGGGGTTAAAAGGTCCGACGCGCTGCGTGGTCACGTGTCTGAAGTCCGCGGGGCAGGACAGGAGGAGGTTGGTGGCTCGACGCTCGTCGGCCGCCTCCTCGTAGTGCTCGTGGCTGGCACGGCGAGGTAGGAAGAACCACCGCTGGAGGCGCTCGCTCCAAGCTGCCGATTCATGGATGAGGTAACCTGCGAAGAGCAAGAGGATTTCATTTACACGTCACCCCACTGCAGGTGCTCACCGAACTTTGCCGCCTGTCCACGTTATATGTTGAGCGGGACGATCGTTTCCAGTCACAAAATTGAATTACCATATCTTTCGGACTATAAGCCGATACTTTTTTCCCCTCGCTTTGAACCATGCGGCCCCATACCCCGGTGGGGCTTTTCTGTGGATTTTTATTCAACCACCAGGGGGGGCTCTTTAGCAGGAAGTGAATCATTGGAAAGAAAGTGCTAACATGCTAGCAGCAGGCACGACAGAGAAATGTCTTCAAACTCATATGATGCAGCTCTTAAGTTGAAGGTTATCGATCTGGCAGTACAGGAGGGAAATAGAGCCGCTGCACGTAAACTCCGCGTGAACGAAACCACGGTTCGGCGTTGGAGACGGAGGGCTGAGTCCTTAATAAATCCAGCAGATTTATTGGAAAACCGAGAGCGGCGGAGATACCAGCGGCTTACAGCCCGGTTTCCAGGCTTTTTTTTTTAAATTGTAGGTGCTGCTTATAGTGAGGTGCGCTCTATAGTCCGGAAAATACGGTAACTTGATTCAGATCCTTAAGACGGCAACATTTCAGTCATTATGTTGACTTATTGAATACATGTTTTCATTTTGTGTCAGATAAAGTCAATGGAAGTGTCCAAAAAAAAAAAAACTTTATACTTTCTGTTTCCTACAATGAACATTTTTAATAAAATGTTTAATTTACACATAAACTGGCTTGTGGTCTAGCAGCTTTGATCAGAAAGTTGTTCCTAATGTTTTACAGCTTTGATCCTGGTGACCCCCTGCCCAGCATGCTTCAAATGTTTTCCTGCTGCGGCACACCTAAATCCAATGAATGGACCATTGTTAAGCTTGTACCAAGCACGACGAGGAGGAACTGACCTATTTGTATCAACCTGCTGTATTAAAGTAGTAAAACATAAAACACGACTTAAGGAGAAAAACATGAATTCCAACAAGAACTTCTGTTCGTAAATGTAGGTAATACTTCATCAAAGCGGTATGATTTAAACTGGTGCTCCACAAAGCTCAGGTTTAGTCTTTGCACGCAACCATCGGATGGTATCGACGGCAGACGTGCACCTGGTGGTTCGATCCCTGCAGCTCTCCGCAGGGCGGCGTAGTAAGGCACCCAGTTTTCATGCTCCACGCCGCCCTTGTAGTCGATCACTTTCACCCACTCGGGGTTGTTGTTGACGAATTCCCCGGATGTCGTCGTCCACTCTTTCCCCAGACCTCCGACGTACAGGTGCTCATCCTTCACTGCCAGCCACTCCGCCTTGAATCCTGCACAGAAAACGAAAGCATTAACTACAATCACAAACAATTCCTCGGGAAAGTACTCCTCGCTCTTCAACTCATCGCTTCAAGAGCAGACTTGAATATGCTGCTTTGGGGCTTTGTGTGACAGACCAACCCAAACTAGAGAGCCAAAGTCAAAAGCGAAGGTGGACAATCCGAGCTTTTCAAGTTTTAAACAGACAATAATCTGTGATTTTGTAGTCAGCTTCCTGTACTCTGGTGCCTCTAAATAAAACATCCAAATGGCTCTATGTGTACGGAAACCAATACATCACCCTGTGTGGGAGCTTGAAGCAGCTGAGGTGGGCAACGGGGGGAGTTGACCCAATGCTACTGTTATGAATGAAAACTTATGAAAGTCCAATAACATCAGCGGTGTTTGTCTTGTAAGCTTAAAAATGTATTCCTCACCACTGACTGCATTTGCTGTTCCACAGGCCGTCTTAATATCCAACATTATCAAACCTGAGTCGAAACAGCACAGCGATCACAAACAACTCTTTTGACCACCAACATCTGGCTGACCCTAATCAAATGTTTCTACCTTACATACCATCATTTACAAACAGAAAAAATAACACATAATAATGTGAGGGTACTTTTCTTTGACAGAGATCAGGCAGAGCTCAGAGTTAAAGGGAAGAAGGATGGAGCTAAATGCATGACAATCCTGGAAAAAAATTTGTTAGAAGATCTAAAACAAGACTTAAGAATAGATCAGAGGTTTGCCTTCCAACAGGACAACAACCCTAAAATGTGGGACGGTTTAGATTGAGGCATATTCATGTGTACAACAGTCCATAAGAAGTTCAGGATGTATGAATACAGTTGGAAGGTATTAAAGTTCTCGACTAAACGTTCGGTTTTTGTTTTTCTTAAAAGGATTTGCTGTCAATCTTTGGGGTTCATCGGCCTTGGCACTGACCTTTAGACACGGAGCCGTCGCCATCAGGAAGTATCACCCAGGGAACGGCTCTGCTCCCCTCAATCCTGTACACCACACCTGTGCGGTCATCCACACTGTAAAGGTGACCGTTGAAGGCCACCAGCTCTGACAGCTCCATACCTGCAGGCACGGCGTTGCACCACATATTAATATGAACATGCACAACCGTATGCAGAAACAGGATTTTTAGCCACGTACCTCGTCCTTTCTCAGCCAGACTGCTCTCCAAGGTGACTGTGTCTGCATCCCACTCCACCTCCAGTCTGTCCCCACTCTCCGAAACGGTCACGTAGCCTCTTTTCATGTAGCTGAACCACGTCTGACCCTTGGAGCTTTGGGACGCCGTGTCCAGGTCGGCAATCGCTCCTATACGGTAGCGAACGCCGTGCGGCGTCCTCTCTGGTGGACTCAACGGGTATGTGTCATTGTAGGGCTTTTTCCTCTTTAGACACCAAGAGAGTCTTTGTGATCTCACATCCTCCTCTCTGCGAGTTTGAAAACTACCTCTGGTCGGTGTGTCTGTGCTCCCTACGGTCCGGTGCAGGTACAGCATGAGCACTATGGCCAGCAGGACGGTCACGATTATTGCTCTCCATCTGGGATGAAAGCGCAGGTCGGAGGCAGTGGCCTGCGTCATGGACGCCAAGGCCAGGGGGAGGCCTCGAACCGCAAAACCGAAGGAGTTCATGGAAGTGTCGGGTTCATCCCTGGAGCCAGCTGTGGGTTGGAGATGAAAACTTCCACCGCCTGGAGAAGAAGAACAAGGAGGAACATCAGCAGGGTTGCACAAAATGTAAAACCTAGTTGAAAAGTTTGAGGTTTTTGAAGTATGTGTCTACTTTCATAGCAGCTGGAGAAGAATAGGCACTGGTAGGAGGGCAAGCTGCTAAAACGGGCTCTTGTTCCTATTGTTCCTTATTCACAACGGGGCTTTGTTGGGCTGAGCAGACCGTATACCGAATAGGAACAGAGCTCCACGAACATACCGAACCACCAGGAAGAGAACCAGCACACCCTCACCCTGCTGTCTGCCGTAATTTCTCAACATGTTGAACTGCTGTCAAGATTATACCCATGTTTTTATCCATTTTATGTTTTTTCACACTGATCTGTTGTACAGAATTCCATCTCCTTGACTCTCTGATTTAACTTTATTGTTTCTCCTGTGAAGTACTTTAAGACAACTTACAAAGTTTAGCAGACTTTTATTCTCAACAGACTGTTTCACCTCCGTCAGAAATTTAGATAAATAGATAAAGAGACGTGGTACCTGCTGAAATAAGAGATCTGTTATTGTTCTGGGCCAAGGTGACCCTTCACGTTACTCCAAACAGCGACAAACAGAGCAAATCTTTACCCAGCCATTTTGAATTTTTTAAACAAGATTTGACTATTTAAATATCTGCACTCTAAGTAGAATATTAATCTTAAAACAATTTTATACTTATATTTATTTACTGACTAAATTCTACAAGATTAAAAAAAAAAAGGGTTCACATGAATATTTGCCAAGAAGTCATCTGGGTGGAACAGATAATCTTACATCACATAATTCCCCCGGTGCATCCGCTGCTTCTCTCTGAACGTGTTCACGCTTGTCGACTCTTTAAACTGAACACGCAAGGCTTGACAGAACAAAAAAATAAAATAATAACAAAAGAGCTTTTTGTCGTTGCTGAATACATAACCGATATTTTCCACCTCCCTGCACCACAGACCAACACATGACATTGCTGTATGGCGTATAAAGAATTAAACTATTCACCCTTCCTCCTTCTCCTCTCCCCTGAATAGGCTGCTACTATCACGTCGTTCTGCTCCGCACACATCCCTCAGAGAAACTCGCTCGTTCAGCCCTCGTACTCGCATGAATAATTGATTTCAGCAGGTCTCTTCCTTTACCATCTTGTAGACCATCTCAAGTTTCACAGCCAAAACTAACTTGGATTTCTAGTGATGAATTGTGAACTGTATTTGTAGTGTTTATAGAGAAATCTTCCAAAAATAAGAGAAAGTCTACAGCATACAGCTTAAAGACGAATTTGATGCAAAAGTTAAAAAAAATTGATGTGAAATTAATTTTTCTCACAAAATGCAGTAAAAGTTGCACTTTAAATCCTCTCAAATTTATTTTTTAGGGACATGAAAAATAAAAGCAGACTCTTTCTCAGGAAGTACATACAACATGGCAAACCCCAACAACACCACAGAAAGGAAAGTGATTGAAATAGCAGTATTTCAAGACAACAAAACTGCAAAATCTTGCATTTTCTGTAAACTGCTTTTCTGTTTGATGTTTATATTTCCTTGTTGTTTCTATTTCTTTATATTGGACGCATTTGCTTTTCAATATTTATGTACTATAAACAAAGAATAATAATGTATATTTTATTCTTTGTTTGGTTTTATCATTGCAATTTGAATGGTAAAAGTTCTGTGAAAGACTGAAGATGATACAAATAAAAAAATGCATTTTTTAAAAAGAAGAGACTATTTAACTATTTAACACTTAAATAGTGTATGACTATTTAAGTGTCATACACTATTTAAGTGTATGACACTTAAATATTCTCTTGAATATTTTGTTAACTACTTACACACAGGTATGTAAGTAAATATCGTTCATATTCAAGTGTGGCGTAAGTAGTGTCAACTGCCGTTTTTACTCCTTTACGCAGTGGGACGTTACGTTACGTAACGCAGCAGAAAGTCACATCTAAGCGTTCACAGCAGTTAATGTCGCAAATCAGCTGTGCTGCGAACTATGTTAGACTATTTCAACTGTCAATCGTTTTTGGGTTTTTTTCTTTTCTTCATTATTTCCCTTGTTTGCCGTGTGTAAATGATGAGAGAATTAATTGGAACAATTCCACTTTAAGCTATTGTTTGAGGTTACAAGAGCCGGTTAAAGGTTCATACATTTTGGCAGTACATGCTGAATTAGCCGGTTTAAATGAATACAGATAAGCTCCTAAAACCGTAAGCCGAAATGTCCGAACATGTCCAAGTGTTTCACACGGACGGAAAGTTATGTCATACAGCGGACATCACCTCCAGACGTTTTATTAGCCGCACGGCTAACATCAGCTAGCAACAGTACATTGTAAACGTTTACATTTCGCCCCGACTCACGAAGGACGCCGCTCGTCAACTTACAGAGTTTTCCCGACCCATGTCCCCATTTTTGCCCCAGCAGCTCACCTGATGTGGAGGCTTCTCACGACGCCCTGTTGGCCGGTGACAGTCTCCTCCTACAAGGAACTGCTGGGACTCCCTGCAGTAAGAGTAAGGGCACCTCACGGCTCTTTAACGTCATAAACAAAACATGGTGTCCACGGGGTTTCGACGCAGCCACATCGATAAATTATATACAAAAACAGCTAACAGACATTTAAAAGTCATTCTTGTCAAAATATAAATAAAAAAAAATAAAAATGTAATTGTTTATTTTAGTATTTAAAGTACAAACTAAATCAAGAAATTCACAAAATCTCAATTGAGACCACTTTTTTTTATTAATGTACAGACGAATTTTTAACTTGATACAGTAGATTATTGAGGAAAGCATCAACGTTGTTAAAGATGTTAGAAGGTGTGTATTTTAATGGTGGTTAGCATCACAACGATTGCTGCTATGTTTTGTTTGTACTCAAGATAGTTATTTATATTCCCAGTCAGAATTAACAAAGTCCACTGAAGTAGGAATGCCAGCTTGTAAAGTCAGAGGTCAGAAAAGCCCTGATTTCTATATCAAATATTCTCTATGCACATATAAAACAACGTAAACAATGCTGTTATAAAGCATTTATCACATTTTACAGTGGCACACATCATACTGTACAATTTTTATTTGTAAAGATGGTTTTGTAATGTTTGCATAACCATAAAAGAGAAATACATTGTTTGAAATTAATTGTTAGCCTAACTGCCAAGTTCCGCTTAAATATGGCTTCCATGCACATAAAACATCTAAAAAGTTGAAGGAATACAGTATGTATTTTTCTACTTCTGATGTTTTCCTCTACACAAAATGCGACTATGTTCCATCCATAGTTATAGGGTTATAGAATAGGGTTAACAGATTGTAAACAGCACAGTAACAAATCCCATTGGATTTGGAACTATCACCTACAATGACCTCATTTTGTCCAACATCGTTCTTAGACAAATCAAACACAATAATATTTACAGTAGTTTGGTAAATTACTGTTTCATTATATTTGTTTTAAGAAGTCTGAAATGAACAATTATAAGTAAAAAAAATGACCACTCAACTCAAACACTGAAAAGTCTCTCAAAAAAAGGACAGACAGCATCCACAATGCTGATCCTTAGTCAGCCAATAACAAACCAACTACTTTTTGGGTCTCCTGGATTAAAAGGTAATGAGCACTCTGAAATCATTATGAAATGATGAGTCATTCAATTCACAAACAGAAACAACTGACCACATGTTCTCTTAAATAAATATAAATATTTATTATGTTCTTCAGTAATGACAAGCAGAACATGGTGTAAATATTGTTAAACAATGTGCAATGCTACAATGTGCAGTGCAAATCAAAGTGCCACTGTTGCAGATTCATTTTAATCTCAGTTTCAAAACCTCATGATTAGAAATCAAAATTCTGCAATGATATATCAGGATCAGGAACAGCTGCAGACCATCATCATCATCATCGTCATCATCATCATGTGTTACGTCAGGATTCCCCCCGGGTCAGATCTCAGTGGAGAGCAGGAGGGTCAGGGAAAACGCTACCTTCATGTCAAATGATACACGTTTACTCTTTACTGAAGATTGTCAAAAACAAGAAAAACAGCAATAATCAGTCAGAAATGAGTCAAAAGTAACAGTCAACTCAAAAATATTTAATGTGCAGTGGTATTATGCGTCATCACAACAACGTTCACAGTAGTCCAGCAAATCTGTTTGCAACTGAGCCTGAGAAGTGAATTCTGCCATGACACAGTGCAGTGAAGCGACGGTGTTCCAAACATCCAAAGCTTAGTTAGGACTTCTTGAACATTTGTAAATAATGTAAACTAAACCATCAGAACAACTGATGTCACCTGGATTGATCTCAAAATGACAAAAAAAAAAACATTTACCACAGTGAAACCCTGAAGAAATACTTATTTTCTCATTGTGGGTGAACTGGGACTGATCAGAGGTTTGTTGAACACTTCAGCTCTTCCCCATCATCTTCAGGAGGAGCTGCAGAGAAAGGAAAGCATTAAAGTAAAGAGTTACAACTCTGACGTTTCAAAGTTACAAGCTAGGAAGCTAACATGTTCAGATTTGTCAACAGGTTGAACCACAGATGATGAAAGTAGTTTGTCATGAAAGATATTTGCATTTTCTTTCATGACATTGCATTAACATAATTTCAATACTATCTCTGGTCTTTTCTTTCTGACAAAATATGATAACTTGCAAGAGTTTAAGATTTTTCACATCTCGTCAGGTTACCTGCAGATTGTATTTTATTGACCGTTTATATTATTAGTTCAAAGTCGTTTTGATGATGATTTTTTTTTAAAAATAGGGCAATCCTGAAAAATTTTTTTAGTGGCAACAAAAGACTGGCATGAAAGTTCACTTAACATTCAGTCAAAGCATGAGATCAAAAGATAATCATGTGCTAGAAAGGCCTATTCAAAGCCCAGTCGTGAATAAAATTGAGATCTGCGTCACTGTTATTTTATTAACACTGGTCTCAAAGGATCAGGATGAAATTTTTTTTCCCCCAGTTCTGTGATGCAACTGTATATAAAGCTAGCTGGCTTTTTTTCACAAAAGGAGAGGGCAGAGAAATAAAGTCTACTCATGTTCAGATCCAGCTGATGAATCCACCATATTGACAAAATCCAACGTAACAGGATGTGAGGATGTGAGGGTACCTTGGTCAGGTGATAGTCTCCATCCACCAGCTGCTCAATGATACTAAAATGGTCTGTGTTCGCCACATCCTCCATGGTCACCGTCAGTCCTGCTGCTTCCAGAGTCTTAAAGAAACACAAAAGAGAAGTTGGTGACAAGGGCAGTTATGTCTGGTGTAATTTCAGAGAGGCAGCTTGAATCCGAACAACAGAGAAAATGCCCCAACTGATGAGCCGCCTCTGCGCCATTTACAGCAGTATTTATTCTCGGCTGTGGCCACTAACTTTGTAGTATTCCTCCGACTGCTTGCGAAACTCCGGCGAGTCATTCTGGGCGATGGCCACAACGATCCGACAGCCTGACGAGGATCGTTTGAGATGAGGGACCAGCTGGCTGGGGCTGTTTCTCACCGCCACCTCCCTGCAGACACAAAGGAATGAGGCTCCGACTGGCACCACCACTTACACAGACGACAACAATGACATTTACCACCACAGCTTCCGGCACGACGCTCTCCACGACCCAGTCAATACCATTTAAAGGAGGATCAGGACATAAAAACCACAGCAGGAGTTCAAAACGTCTAAAATCAGATCTGCGGGGGTTTGTTTTTGTAAGTCTTAAACTAACCCTTTCAGCATCTACAGTAAAGTCATTGGTAAACTGGGATTCATCACTTTCGTTTCTTGTTTTTTTTAGTTTCCACATTTAATCTCCCTCTGTTGATTCAGAACTGCAGAATCAAGGAATCGGTTAAGCAGAACCAGTCAGTCGACGGAAAGATCTCAAAAAGCAATCAATCAAGCCCGAATCTAAGCTTGTGATTGCATTTTTTTTTATTATCACAATTAAGCCTGAGTAACTGGAAGGCCTTATGCACTTTATTTAGCTAATTCAACAACCTGAAACTCTTGTCATTTCTTACAATTATAAACTCTATACTCGCTCAGAATGCATTGACTCAATCTGAAATCCATAGATTAAAACTGTGTGGACTATACAAAGAGGTGAAAGTGATCAATAATTACCCATCTGTTTTAAAGGGCCATTGGTTTATGATTCCCCTAGCTGGTAAAGTTCCATTTTAAGCGTTTGAACTACTTTTCTGACTGTACCAGAAATTATTGCGGTAAACTTTAATATTGTTTTTAATGTAATATATTGATAATGGCATAATAATGGAAGTTTGCCCTCTCAAAGACTAACAAAATTTTATTTTATACAGAACCATCCGCTGTGGAACCGGAAGACATTTCAAATATCCAAAATGAAAAAAACAACCCAAAACAAAGTAAAACCACATGCAACTGAAACCGTAAATAAAGTGGATTACGAAGTCGCCGTAAATAAAATTGTCCTTCAAAAAATATTGATGATAAAGAAACGATCAAGCTCATTTTAATCAACGGTACAATTAGCTGATTATTGTGACTGGCTTACCAAAAAAAAAAAAAAAGGTTTTATGAGAAATAAAACCTTTTATTTCTCATAAAATAAAAGAGCTTTCAGTTCTTAACAGACTGAAAGTTTTTTTCTAGAAGATAAATTAGAATACATTTAAATTATCAGCCTTCTTATCTACAAAAATCAATCTCTGTCAGCAGTTTCAAAGTTAACAATGTGCAACAAGGGTTCTGTGTTTGTAGAATAGTTTCTTTTCCCCCCCCCCAATGTGTGATTACTCCAGGAAATCAGAACCTACTCTGTCATCTTCAGAGGCTCGTTGATGTACGTGGGCAGGATGGGCAGCAGGTCGTATATGCCGCTCACAAGGAAAGCGCCTTGGAGGAAAATCAGAGCGACGGTGAACAAATAAAACCACCCGGATATTTCTGAGCCTCTGTGCCTGAAGGCGCCAGTGAGCCCAGCCTGATCCTCCGCAACTCACCTTTGATGTTTGGTGTGACGCTGTACTGGGTCCAGTCGGTGGAGAGCACCATAGCGGCCAGGTGAGCCCCTGCAGAGTGGCCACACAGGTACAGACCACTGAGTGAGGAACCACAGAGAGCTTATTTAACACACTGGAGCTGATTCTAGTGAAAATAACGTCCTACGCACTCTACGATTAATACATCTTTTTTTTTTTTTTTTTTTTTTTTTCCTTTTTTTGGAGTATTGTTAAACGACAAAAAAAACCCTCCTGCGAACCTGGGACACCATGAGGTCCATGTTACCTTAAAGGGAAGTGCAGCACACAGCTGACATTTCCAGCTGATCTCCTCAGATTATCTTTTTATCTACAGATCAGAAATGACCGACTCTACCTTTGGGGGCAATGTCGTAGCCAACGGCAACCACAACAACGTCCTTATCAACGAGTGGGACAGCCATGAATCCAGACTCCTCTTTGCTGCAAAGATTTTTATTTTTTTACCCGATATCTTAATTTACATGAGAAAATAAAGCATTGAATAAGAAGCAGTACCTGAGAAACTGCCAGTAGCCTCCGTGGATGTAAATAACAAGGTTGACGTCTGAGAGAGAAAACATGCAGCCGGTTATTATTAATTATCCGGGAGTAGATTCAGGACATCTGAAGCGTAGCTCCATACCCAAAGAGGCGGTCTTGGGGATGTACACGTCCAGTTTCTCTCCATCTCCCTCTCCGTATGGAACGTTGATTAAAGTTTCAGCCAGACTGCGGGCTCGCTCTGTACCTGAGGAGAAAACGCGATTCAAAAATTTAAAATAAAAAGAAAAGGATGGGAAATCCGTCTTTAAATTAATAGGGAAATATGTAAAACATAAATCACTTTAAATGGTTTGTATTTATTAGATTTTTAACAAACGACACATGACCACATTTGGTGAACATGTTGTTGCTACAGTATTTGGCTGCACTTGTAACAGAGAAGTACCTTGTCATTAGCCTGCACTGCTAACAGTAGTTATCCTGGTCACTGAACACATCATTTGACCTATTCCACCAGGTTTTAAACTTCAGACTGGTTACGCTGGGGACGAGGTCACTCCTTCAGAGGGAGCACCATAAATGGCATCATTTTGCTTTCATTTGTCCAGCAAATGTGTCCTGAATACCTCTAAAGTCAACCCAAGCGCTATAGTTGAGCACCATGGCACTAAAGAGTCAATCCATCATGGACTGAGAAGAACTTGTAAGGAAACTGGAAAGAGAGAGGTGTGGGTTTTCCCCCTAAACCTGTCAACTTGATTTAGGCTTCAAGAAAACTACCATGGAGTGTAGCATCTCATTGTAAATGAATGTACCAATCAATAGAGCTGTGCTTTTCTCACTGCGACTGTGCCATTGCACGGAAGAAAATCCGTGCAATGGCATTTTACAATTTTCTGGACAAGTCTTCTCCTCATAGTCTGTCCTGAGAATCTTACTACGTCAGATCTTCAATAAAAACATATTTTTAATCTCTACAAATAAAACAAAAGATAACAGTCGTATTTTAATGGTGCGTCTCTTAGTAATATATGAAACAGCATGTATGTAGCATATGTGTGTGGTAAACCTTTAAACCCAACTGTGGACACACAATTTACTGTTAATTCCAAACTATGTGATTTATGAACAATAAACATGCCATGTTTTAGCTTAATAGCGTGTTTTAAGCTAATAAAATCACATTCCTTGCCTAAAAACCCCCCTACACACATAGCTTCAAACTTCCAAACTCATTCATAATTATCCGACGGGGGTTTCAGATTTACGGATACACAACATTGAGCACAACACTGGTGCTCCGACCGATAGCTCCGTCGATCTGCCAGATTAAAAAACAAAGTTACCGTGTCGCCGGTACACAAACAAACCTTCCTTCAGAGCCTTGACGTGGGCCTTAATCACGTCGTCTGCCGCCATCCTGTGGGACCACCTGCTGGGTGAGTACTGCTTCTCTAGCTCCTGTTGACAGAAAGACACTGCTGTGAGCCGCTCCGCCGCCATGCGAGCTGGCACGCAACCAGGCACGGAGGAATATATTCAACAAGCAGCGCCCTCTGCCGACAACACGGCCGAACTGCATGTACCGATTTTTATGAGATGGTTAATAATAATAATAATAATAATAATAATAATAATAATAATAATAATAATAATAATAATAATAATAATATTCAAAAACAGAGATAAAAATGTTGCCGTATTTGTTTATCCTTTGTTCTTTCTTTTTGTTTGCAGGATGGAAGGGGTGTATATTGTTAAAATGCTCCATCTGATAAAGTTTATAAATTATAAGCAAAGTTAATTCATATTTTCTCTAATCACAGAAACCTCATTTGCAGGTTCCTTTTGTTCTGCTTCTAAATGAGCTACAATTATTTCTATAATCCTATCATTGAAGAGAGACAATTCAGTTGTTTTGTCTCCGTCTTACTCACTGAATTAGAAGAGCAGAATGATTGAATCTAAAGGGAGTGGTGCGTAAAGAAAAATATTTTCTTTGTGATAGCAGGTACCTCATTTCTCTGCACCAAAAAAGTTTCACAGGAAAGACTATTGCTGCAACTAAAACTGCACCCACATCAACCACTTATAAGATCATCACAAACTTCAACAGGAAGCTTCAGCGCACCTCAGAAAGTCCAACAACTGGACTAAGGAGAAGTTATTTTCTTTAATGAAGCCCCTCTTCAGACTGTTTGGGACATTTTGAAAATATGTCCCACAATCTGGGTGCAGTTTGTTGATTAATAAAGTTTTTTTTAAAGTTTGATGGAGCTCCATGTCACAAAGCAACAGTGAAAACTAAGTGACTAAGGGTTCAAATACTGAACTTTTGGTTTCTTGGCCAAATACTTTCTTTTATTACCCAACATACCATAGAAACCTCTGACTTAAAGATATAGCACTGCAGTATAGTTTGTCAGAAACACAATTCTTGTTAAAGTTAAAACTTCTCACCCTGACTTTTGTTGGAATATTTCAAAATGTTTACTTAAACCCCCCTCGAGGGTCCCTGGAAGATTTTGTGTCCACTTTAGCTGCATGTCCCTCATCATCATTGAAGATTACCTCAGTGCAGGTTATTGATTTATTTATTTTTGGTAAGCCATTTATCTTCAATCTATAAGGAGAAAAGCTGTTAAACTCAAAGGATGACTTTTGTGTTGACACATATCAGAATAACATAACAAAAAGTAACATAAGGTAACGTAATGTTACATAACATAATACTCAGCAAAGAGACAGCTGTAACTCGACATTAGACATGCTTGACTAGCTATCTGTCACATTTTCTTCATTTTTTTCTATTTTATTTAGAAAAAAATGACACCAGTAAAATCTGGCATGGACCAAATTTTTTGTTTTGCCCCAACAAGGTGATTCTCAACCAACTAAAATAATCCATTCTCATTTATTGAGAAGAATTCAAATCGTTTTAAAAATTATTTGAAATATTTTATTTATTTATTTTCTTGTAGAAATGTATTCATTTATTTATATTCCTCTTTTTAAAAAAAATCTTGCTTTTTTGGGATAAAAGTGGTTCCATCTGTTTACTGTTCTTTACAAAGCATATACTTTGAACTCTGCAGAGTCACATGGCTGTCTAATCTGAATACTTTGCACAACCAATAAAAACACTGAGCAAAGTCACCGGTCTGATCACTGGGAATGATTAGACCGGTGATCTGATCTAATCTGGTCTAATCTGAATGATCAGATTAGACCGGATCTGAATGATCAAATCGAAGCTGATTTCGATGGAAATCGAAGCAATCATAAAACTTTCCCTTTGTTTTGTATATCAAATGAGATCAAAAACCTTATTTGTTTCTAATAACTCTAAACAGTCAAATCACACATAGTGATCTGAACTCCTCCAGCTTCACATTATCTTCTTTCTCCTGTCAGCAACCAAAGCACAGAACAGATAAAGTGAAAACTCTTACGTCTTTCTTCATTTCCATCCAGTGCATCGTTTACGTCGTCAGAATACCTCAGATTGCTGCGAAGGAATAAATCTGACCACCATCTGATGAAGGTCTGAACTTTAGACTGCAGAGTCTCACTGTGTAAACACATTGTTCACGGCTGAATCAGCTGCACAATACCTTTTGCTTAATGCTTTATCAGGCTGGAGTTTGGACAACAGGGGAACAGAAAACTAAAGAGGAACAGATGATTGTGGCAGTTTCTGTTCTCATCTCAACTTGCAGCTGCATTTCAGGAACTGAGAATGTAACGTAATCCAATATCCAACCTAAGGACAATTTAGAGAGACCAACTAACCTAACAGTATTGTTGCATGCACAGGGAGAACATCCCAAATCCATTCAGAAAGACCCCAGGCTGCAATTTGGACCCATGACCTTCTTGCTACAAGGCAACTGCAAACCTTTGTAAATTATATGTTGATTATATAGAATTTCTACAAAGCCTTTAAATTATGAGAACAGATATATCACTCTCTATTGCATTATTTGTGTGCTATTTTAGCTGCTATACCTGTTTAAGATATTTCTGTTATAGACACTGTCTCGTTTAAGTGATTTTTCTTTGTAAGGATCACTGGGAGTTGCTGTAAAGGGATTAGATTAACACACTAAAATCCATTAATCTATATGAGACTAGCACTGTCATAAAAGTTCGTTCGGAAAAGATCAAGTTGTTTCGAGTGAAGTGGGCCAAGTGAATAGGATCTTGGAAAGGATTTACAATTCCCATCACGAAAAACGTCACACTATACTGGGGGGAAAAAAGCAGAGGGAGTTAAACGCTCTGTAATTTGATTGGTCAGTAGTGGCGGGAGTCCGCCCCAGCTGCAGCTGTCAGCTGAAGCCGATTGGTCCGTAGTGGCACGTGACAATAAGACTATTGGTGGAGATGTAGTATAAAATTGTTGTCATTAGCGCGCTGCATTCAAAATTGTTCTGTAGATCTTTTGTTAGCAATAAGGAATATAACATATTTTTATTTTAACTTATATTTATTGTAATATATTATTAAGTGTGTATTTAAATCAAAATGGACTTCCTCGATTCGCCAGTTTGTCCAATCAGGCTACAAAACTCACCGAAGAAATCCCGTGGACAGATTCAGGTTCGTATCAGCTGGAGAAAACCTAAAATGTATCAAAAAATTGAGTAAAATTCTGCTGTAGACGTAAAAGGTAAACTAAGCCTCTTCCTCAGTTTAACAGTTGCACAATTTTTCTTGTTTGTAGATTATATTTGGGCCGATGTTTTCAGGCAAAAGGTGAGTTAATCTTTTATAACTTTTACCACAAACTTTGTGACTTTTATTGCTTTAATTGATGTACTTGTTCAGTTTTACCCATCCGCTGTGTTCAAAAATGATTATGAAACATGATATTTGCTTTGATTTCCGCTTAAACATCACCATCCCGCCAATTCTGCTTTGTTTACTCCCATTCATTCATATCCTTCTTGTGCAAAGCACACAATTGTTAAGCTATAAGTTTTCAAGCTTTTACATTCAAATTGGCAAGTTTTTTGAGACTTAAAAAAATCTATATTTCGTTTTTGTTTTTTTTTTTAAACTGCACCAGATGTAATCTCCAGACACTTCAGCCCAAATTCAGTACATTTTAAACTAGTACAATCACATAATCACATTCATATCCTGTTACTCACAGCACAGTTCTATTATTATTATTATTATACAGTTAAATCAAAGATAATCTAATAAACATTTGTGCTGCACAATTATGTAAATATGTTTTTGTTGACCAGTGTCTTGGTCACAGTATTAATTATTCGCTTTAATTAATACTTTTGCAGCACCGAACTGATGAGAAGAGTGCGCCGTTTCCAGGTGGCCCAGTACAAATGTTTGGTCATCAAATATGCCAAAGACATCCGGTATTCAGACTCGGGTATGGCCACACATGACAAGTAAGCTTCCGTTTTTATTTTATAAATATGTTTTATCTATGAGTGTAAAACTTGATGCGATGAAGAATATTAGATTTATTCTGTTCACAGCTAAAGGGTGGGGGGAGATCCAGCATGTTGGGTAACTTCAGTAACATACAATAATGCATGTATTTTTATTATGATCATCATGAAAAATGATAGCTTTATGCATACAGCTTAAAGTTCAGAAATCGGTGGCTGCTGATGAAAATAGTTTGGCAGGAATGACTGAGCCTGAGCTGACCCCTGCTGGTGATGTTCTGCAATCACAGCAGCTATTCCTGTCCTACGACACTGACCAGTGACCACTAGATTAAACTGAATATGCTTAATAGCGAATATTAAATTTGACAGTTATTAATACTCCATTATCCCCGAACCGCTTGTCAAATAAAAAGTGGAGAGAAACTGACCTGGCTTTTCCTGGTTTTCTTTGAGGTCTGACCTCAGTGATCCAGTCGTAACTACAACCACCGTCTCCCCTAAGATGTAGTAGTTTTTCATTAAAATGAAAATGTTCTATTATACACAAGCATGTATGTTCATGACCTTCAATTGACCTTTCAATCCCTGGTGCATTTTTAGTAAGAGATGACAAAATAAACAGAATAAACTGCATCAACTCATCCTTGTGTGGTATGAACTTCACTATGAAGCTTTTAAAAAACAATATTTTTTATTAAGATAAAACCACACACCTTCATATTTTTTCCATATATACTGTTTGACCATATGTTAATTTTCATTTGTAAGTTTCATTCGTTTTAATAAATTGTTTTTTTTTGTTTTGTTTTGGTTTTTTTGCCATGTCATAGCTGTAGTTACTGAAATGCATTTAAAAATCAAACACCACTGCTTTGTTTCAAAACGTTAAAGGCAGAAAATCCTCGAGTTTTCATCGTATGATAAAACCTTTTTTGTTGAATCTTGCCGTCGTTTCAGAAACACCATGGAGGCCGTGCCTGCCACCTGCCTGGGAGACATTCGCTCCGCCGCGCTGAAGGCCTGCGTCATCGGGATCGACGAAGGACAGTTTGTAAGTTTGTTTGCAAATGATCTCCTTCAACCTTCAATCGCCTTAACAAAAATCAACACCTTTGGGGAAGAAAGACGTCTTTGTGTTTTGACAGACGACACAAAAGTGTAACTCTTTTTTGAAACTAATCTACGTAACACTGAAAAGGCATTTCAGACAAAGAACAGCACGCTAACAGTCGAACACAGCGATGGTAGCGTGATGATCTGTGGCTCCGTTGCTGCTTCGGGAACTAGGCAACATTTTTATTTATTTTTTTTTATCTCCATTCATCAGCAACCTTAATCTCTCCAATGGCACTTGGGTAACTCCACCACTGAATTACGTGAAAACAAACAAAGGGTTAGGACTGGCCTAGTTAAAGTACACCTCCAGATCCAACTGAGGTGCCGTGGCACGTCTTCAGACGGTCCAAAACCCTCCAATGTTGCTGAAATAAACAAACTGTGCAAACCAGAGAGTGCCAGTTCTCCTGCAGAAAGTTGTGAAATCAACTATCGAGAAGCGAGTTGGTCATCGTCTGGTGAATTGCGACATAAAGCCACAAGGCGGAGATGAGCAAACAGACAAGAGGAGAACTCGAAGACAAAATGACGGAGAACATGTTGAAAGTGTTAAAGGTGGTACACTGTAAAGGTATCCAAATCATGTTGCATCAACTTTGTCTTTAGTTGCTTTGAAACTGAAATCAAATCGTAACTTTTATCTACCCTGCCTCTTTCCTGGATTTGGTCAGATATTTGTAATGTAGGTTAGTTCGTTTTTATCTATAATACACCAAGTGAGAGCAAATATAATCTCAAGACAAACGGATGAAATCCGTCCCCTGGAATGATCAACCATCCGCCGCTTCCATCTTCATCCAGAAAAGAAAACATGGCAGATTTAAAAAGCGCCGATCCAAACGGTCAAACTGGCTTGTTTTGCTGCGTTGCCGTCGTAACGGCGACATTTGTCACGCAGTTTTAAAAATGTTGAAATTCCACGTGAGTGAGACAAGCGTATCTTAATCTGCTCTGTTTCCTGGCCGTAGTTTCCAGACACCGTGGAGTTTTGTGAGGAGATGGCCAATTTGGGGAAGACGGTCATCGTGGCTGCGTTGGATGGGACCTTCCAGAGGAAGGTGGGTGCTGTCGCATGCTGGGCAGATGTCACAAAACGTCCCACACAATGAACTTTTTTTTTTTTTTTTTTTAAGGGAGAATCCAAACTATCGACTGCAACAGCAGATAAACGAGTGTGCTCATTACTTTGCACACAATAGTGCCTTTCTTGTGATTTTAATGCGGTTAAGTCGGCATTCTTTTAGCGCTAGGTAATGTTTCTGTGCTGTCTTTTACAATTTTTCTTCCTGCCTTGTTAACAAAATGGCAATTATACGTAAAAAAAAAACAAAAACTTGGATATATTGCCCCAGATGTTTTTGGTCATTTCCTGTTCTTCCAGAGGTGGCATGTTGACCACATTTTTATTTCTTTGAAAATGCTACTAAGATGCCATCGCATTATATCCCAAAAATGGTTCAAAGTTTCAATAAATAGCTACAGACATCAGTATCTCTTATCTGAGGCTCAGTCCAGGAAAAGGACACAGTTGAACACAGAAACACCGAGTGATGATTCGTTCTGCTTAGTGAGAAAGCTGGCTTGGACCATTTCTTTCTTAAATTTCGGATGATGCTACTTATGGACCCGTTAGATGCTCTGTGTCTTTTTTCTCTCTCAAACTGAACTTTTGTTTTTGTCCAGCCTTTTGGAAACATCCTGAACCTGGTTCCTCTGGCAGAAAGTGTGGTGAAGCTCCACGCCGTCTGCATGCAGTGTTACAAAGAAGCCGCCTACACCAAGAGGCTCGGAGCAGAGAAGGAGGTGAGGAGAGCAGACAAACGGACCGGATACTTCCAATGAGCTTTGGTCTAAAAATGAAGCGCATTGTATCGCATTTCATCATCAAACCCAGCTGGATTTACTCCTCCTCTGCAGGTGGAAGTGATCGGCGGTGCTGACAAGTATCAGGCGGTGTGCAGAAAGTGCTATGGTGGTCTGGTGGTGGACAAAGAGAACAGCTCCTCTATCAGGAACGAGACGCCGCTTCACGTCCCGCTGGGAAAACTCGCCGACCCCAACGTTCCCCGGAAGCTGTTCTCCCCTCTGCACCTCTGAGCAGGAAACATAAGACTTGATGCATCAATTTTGAACAATCTGCTGTGTGTGAGAAGTGTGTACAATTTTCTTTTCTTCTTTTGAGTGCTTTTGTTTTTGTGATGAATTAAAGTAGCGACTCAATATTCTAAATGTTTTTGTCTGGTGTGACGTTTTGAATACTTGAAGGAGATTAAGCACTTGATATCTCTGCATGATTTGCTTACTGTTTTGTAAACATGAGGTAACATCTGTACCTTTTTGTTTAATTCTGATATTTTTACTGTAGTATTGCCTTGTCAGATATAAAGTCTTAAATTATCTTTAAGCAAAATGTACATTTTGCACTCAAATCCAGAATACATCTGTTTTATTCTGTTTAAAGTCAGAAATTGTATAATAAACTCAGAACTGACACTTTTATTGCTTTATGTCTGAGCATTTTTGACAGTAGCTGTAGGAAACTCGAAGATGTTTTACTTTCATTTGACCTTTCACCCCAAGATGTGTAATCTAAAACTCCCCGCCGCAGCAAAGTGAGGATAAAAATAACTGGTTTAAATCTTAGCGACCCACCACGCTGCAGTGAGCCGCTGGTTTGCAGTGAGCAGGGTCGAAAATTTAATGTCTGTGAAATGGAAACAGATTTTGACTTCCTCGTCTAATTACTCTTAAGTTGCTTTCATCCTCCTTTACAGGATTTGGTTTTCATCGGTTCTGCATTTAAAGTCTGGCCACTGTGGAAGTACATTACAAAAAATTGGACATTTTGAACTTTATCTTAAAAATAAAATGCAGAATTTCAAAATGTAATAAGCTGGTACTTGATGGTTAGCTTGTGTAGCTAGCCTGCAGCTAGCTGAGTAAAGTAGTGATATGTGGCTCGACTTCAGTCTCCACACTAACGTAGTTTGAGTTTTTACAATCGGACATTATTGAGACGAAGCATAGTGACATTCTTTCAGTCAGCAGCAGTGCTTGGCAACATGTGAAATCTGCTCCACACAACTGGAGAAAACTGTTACTTCCTCCGACATCCTGACCACTGCCTTCCTACGCAGTTCTAACCTCTCTCCAGTGCTCCGTCTGGGCTTTCTCCCATTCCAATGGATTTCTCCGTAGAATTTCTATCAGGCTAATAAGTCGCGAGCGATGATGTTGCGTTTCTACACTGTTTTATAATCGTCTGCCTGTAGTTCTAGCAATGGCAGCGGAAGAAGTGAACGAATCCATTAAGTCCGTGTTTTTCACTCTTCCAAATATTGAATTGGCATCAGCACAGCCATCTTGTTTACTTCGACACTTCTCTGAAGGATGGTTGTTTACAGCGCACGCAATTTCCGGTTAGCGTCGAACTGGCGTACGTCACGGACAAACATTAGCAAGTGAGGTTAGCAAGCTCAACATTGTCCACGTCTCCAGGACAAGGAGCTGATTATTACCAGGCTAGCATTGAATACACAACCAGAGGAAACTAAAACATGCTATGTCGATGTTTTTCCCCATTCATTAACCACTTGTTTATTATTTTAAAGCAAGAATCAAACAAGGTGCACATTATTTACACATATTTCAGAGCTCATTTGCTAGTTATTCAGTAAATCACAAATCCTTGGCCACATCACTTTTAGGCCCACATCATTTGCGGCACTTTTGGGGGGGAAAAAACAAAACAAAAACAAGCTGTTTAAAGTGAGAAATTAAAAGAAGCTGCTTCAGATGTCACAGTTCAACTTTATGCACAGATCCAAGAACTAGATTTTCAGCATTTGACACAGACGTTACAACTCAAAAATATTACCACAAGATTTAATCACATTTTAAACTCTTCGGTTCCCAAACCAGGTTAGTTGCGATCCTCCCAACATGTTACAATCACAAACTCCAGAGCATCTTAGCAAGATTTAATGGGATGTATGAAAACCTCTGCAGGGTGCTGTAAGCGGTTCTTAAAGGAGAGCAACTCTCCTGGATCTGTTGTCTTTGACCACCAGAATGATGTCGCAAGGCAGTTCTCAGTGCAAGCAAAGTCTTCTCTTCCTTCTTCTCTGAACCATATATGCACATTTTGCATGAAAAACGACAGACGTCACTACACCATTTTCACAGATGACTCAAGAAAAACATAATTTATTCACAGGTCTAAATTTAGCTTACACGACGGACCAAAACTGCTCTCTGATCTGCGCCAGAAAGAACCGACGGAGCAAATTAACTGCAAGCTCAGAGAGCAGTTTTTAGTGATCTGCAGTTGTACCTTTGAAGCCTGTTAACTAAAGAAACCCATCATATCTCAGAAAACTAAAAATGTCAGTGTTTAACCAAGGTAGGGTGCTTTTGCTCTGTTTTTGGGCGGTTGGAGGAAGAAATGCTGCACAAGAGAGAGAAGAAAACATTCAGTGGACAGACTCGTTCAATAGGTGCTGCGTTATCTCCAAGCTCCTCCCTCTCCATCAGAAAGTTAGCTGCGAGTTCAAAGGTCAGTTCAACACATGTAAACCTTTTCAAACCAGCACACGTCTGTCACAGTTAGTACAGTCAGTCTGGTGGAAATGCTCAATCACTATGGCTTTAATGAGTTTAAGCAGCAAAGGAAAGGAAAACCTTTTCTGATTACTTATCACAGGATTTGTGTTACTTTTACAGAATCCATGATTATAAAATATAACTTAAATTAGTTTTTTTTTTTCTTCCTCCATGAACCTTGTAACCCATTTGGTAAATTATATCACTATAGCTTTTTGAGCCATTTATAGAAACAGAAAAAAAAAAATCCTGAAAATCAAAACAACGAGGCACGTGACCGTCCCGTCTTCAGAACAAAGAGAAACACTCGTTTGGCCTCCTCCACACTGATTGTTGCTCCTCTGCAGGACTGTTTTCACAGCAACGCCCCTCTGCCCTGCAGGTTCAGCTCGTCTGAGGTAAATGTTGCTTTTGCACACAGGTCAAAGGTCACATTGCTCAAGCCTCTTTCAGTGTCTTCAGATCCGATCTCAGGCCCGTCGGCGTAAACGGCGTTCGCTCGTCGTCTCCAGCCTGTCGCCGCGAGGCTCAGCGTCCTCCCCGGACTCTTTGAACAGTGTGTTGACTTGAATGTAAAACCGCATCGATACGATAGAGCTCTGCCGCTCAGCAGCGCCGCGTCGTCCGTCAAGACCCCCTTCCCCCACAACCCCCTCCACTGCGTCAGTATTTGGGCGGCAGGTAGCTGGTGTCGCTCTGCGGCGGGAGGTTTGAGGTGAAGGGGGGCTGCTTCTGGGACTCGGGCACGTTGCTGGGGTATGTGTAGGTGGTGGGGGTGTAGGTGGTGGGAGCGTAGGTGGGGGGGTACGGGGTGTGGATTTCCGGGGCCGTCTCCGTGTAGGTGGGAATGCTGACGTCGTCCACGCCCCGACGGAAACGGCCCAGGGCGAAGTAGGTCAGGATTCCCTGCAGGAGGAGAGGATGATTGGCAAGTCATATACTTATTTTCCAGCAGGAAATCAACGGCGGTTGAAGATGTAACCGTTCAGGATTTAATGCAGATGAAAGATGCTTTTAAGAGCCAAAAACTTTAGCCCGTTGAGCTAAATGTGACTCTACAAAAGCTTGTGACAGCTATCGTGTGATATCCGACACAACTTATCTGTAAAATCCTGTGAAAGCTGATATACTCACAGCTTCCTGTTCGTCTGGAGGAAACCAGCAGGTCACGTTTCAAATGATAGGCAATGAGTTAGCAGTAAAATATTGTCTCAGTCAAAATTAAGGGACACCAATAAACGTAGCAGAGTTTGGATCACAGCAGCTAGCCACCGGGGAACACCCAGCTGAAGGTCATGGCTCCTTTTTGGTTACACAACTATACCACAACCCATACACTTTATTTTAACTAGGTTTGAACCTGTGTTTTCCATTACAACCCATGTTTTTTTCCATTATCTACAATGACGCGACTGTTTTGGCTGCTGCAGATTCTCATCTCATCTGTGTTATGCAATAACCTGCTGCCGATTTGCTTTTCCTGCTCAGCGAAGGGGCTGTCGTTTCCTTTTATAAAGCTTAGCACGATGCTCGTAAAGCAGGAGAGAAGAACCTTTTCTGTAAACTCTTACTCTGCACAAAATTAATTTGACCAGCAATGAAATTAGCAAGGAAACAGTCAAAACAAATAGTAAGCAAGCTAGCGTTAGATTAGCAGTTCAGCAAACTGCTCTGCATTAAACCTTAATCAGCAGGAATGTGTGCCTGACAACAGACACATTTATGGATGTAAATACAAACAAAACGATAATTCTTTTTCCCCAATTAATAATTAGACTATTAGCAATCACTATGCATTTCACTAAAGTAAACAAACACATGAAATCTTACTATTTGCAGAGAACTCTGAAAGGGCTGGAAATGAAATCTTGTGTTTTGTGTCTCAGATTCGGCAGCACACGGAAGTCAGACAATGCTGACTTTGAACGCGGTTGAGGCCAAAGAGACGTCTTGTTCTTTCAAACCTGTCTGCTTAGAGGGAAAGTTTTGTCTCATTTAACTGGAGACTTGCTACAGGCAGTGAGATTTTCTCCAAAAGGACAAAAAGGCCACAGCAGATAAATCATCATTGAACTTAAGGCGTTAAATAAGCAGCAATTTCACATGCGTTTGTTTTTACCAGCTTGTTTAAAGAGGTTTAAATATTTCGCTTTTCTTTACAAGGTAAGACGTTTTCAAGACCTGAGAAAAGTTGAGCCATTATTGCTCAACAGGTTACCCAAGTGAAAAAGCTTCCAAAAATATTCAGAGGCAGCCTGGACTCCAACATACCTTGGATGTTTTTCTTTTTTTACAAACAGAGGAAGTTCAACACCATTGTTAGCCTCCACAGGAGCGACCGATGAGGTCATAAAGAGGCAACAGCAGAGCAGCTAAACCTCACAACACGATTCGTTTACCAGGAGAGAAGTGAAACAAGGATGTGGAAAAGGAGAAAAAACTGCTAACCGCTAACACAAACGTTACGGCTAACATAGGGTTTAACCACACAGAAGAGATTCAGGGCCTTTCGTTTGGAAAGAGCTTTGATGGAAATGACCAAAACTTGAGCTTTTTCTGAGTAAAGTTGAGAAAGAACCTCTTTCAAATCCAATTTTTTTTGCAGTCAGCGAACACAGCATCTCAAAGCGCTACCAGGTGACCAAACAGCAGCAGCTTTCAATAATGAAGCTGTTACTGTGCAAATAGTTAGCTATAAGTATTAATATATAGTCAAATTAACCACAACTAACAAGACTTGTAATAAGAAGCCCAGGAATGGTACAGCAGTTTTCACTTTATTGTTTTTTCAGAGTTTTCAACCTCCGTTTGTTGCAGAAAATGCTGGATTTGGAAATGTAACCCTATTTTGGAAACCTCTCTTTGGGAGACACATAGAAGCTACTGATGCTAACCTTGCTAACCACTAATAAAGGATGTAAGAGATGTTTTAAAATGCCAACTAATCAGTTTGTCAAACTGGTTAGATTAAAACGAATAAATCAGTCATGGCTAGAAATATACCTTAAATAACATTTTATATGTTTTATGGTCTAGGTCTTAAAGGACTAAATGGGTACACAATTTGGAGTGCTGGGTGTGTCTCTATTGAGAACAAAAGGTCTCAGCAGTTACTAAACAATGTATAATTATAAATTCATGTACATATAATTATCTGGTCAGAATTTTTCATCAGCTTTCTAATGAGGTTAGTTGGTAGCCGTGAATGAAAATGATTCGGAGATGTTTTCTTGCTCATAAACAGCCTCCATCAACCATTCCACTCAGAGAGTAAAATGTCTTTTGCAAACCAACGCTGAGAGCCTGAGAAAACGTCAAGGAAGCAAACACAGTGGCCTTTGTGCTCACCCATGTGGCGATGGAGAAGAACGAGAAGGCAATGGTGGCGCGCGCAGCGTCCTCAGGGAACGCAATGACATCAAGAGTGTGAGACCACTGACTGGTCAAAACGCAGAAACACACGAACCACAGGAAGGTCCACGCCCCTGGAAAACATGGAGAGAGCGTTGTAAAAACACTCACTTGCTTTTTAAAGTGAAAACTGTGACATAAAGAGCAGGCAAGCTTGACATTTGCTTGTAAAACAACAGCTAGAAGTGGATCCATCTGCTCAGCTGAGCACAAGCTGTTGTTTCTTCTCAAACCAACACTTCTTTGTCTGCTTGAAGAATGGCCGATTGTTAATGTTTTGTGTGCAGCCGATAAGCGTGCATTTCATCAGAATCTGCCGGGTCATCCTCCCGCCGCTCCACCCTGCTTCGCAGTAAGTACAGAGTTAAGCACAGAAAAATTCACCATTATATCCAGGAGATGACGATGACGATGCCCGGAGATTGAGCTTGCATGTTAATTAATAGAGTTAAATATCCAAATTTCCTAGCAAAAGACTAAAGGCAGATTATAAAAGGACCCTTAAATCACCTGTTGACAAAGCCAATGCAAAATATCTCCCAAAGTGGGTAAAACAAAATATCTCTGTGCAGATAGATTTCATTACTAAAAAAGTCAAGATAAGAAAAAAAGAAAAACAGCAACAAAAACCCCACAAAACTGCAAAAAGGTAAAAGTATAATTACAATATTTTGTGCATTATTGAGTGCGAATGTTCACACATGCGCTCTATATTATACAAGGACCGATTCTCATCGCCTACTTTCAGGAAGGAATAAAAACACCAATATAACAAAAATACAAATAAAGTTACAACGATGTAGATTCTCAGGGATCCATGACCTGAAAACTTTGTCTTTTTTTTTTTTTTTTTTTTCTTCAATGGGTGGTTTTTGTTTTACCGTTTCTTGCTCGTTTTGCTTTATGGCCAGGGTTG